ATTAATACTTTAGATTTTTCTCTCCATTTTCTTCCATCTCTTTCTAATTTCAAAATTACTTGTGGAACTCTAATTACAAACTTTCGCAAAGACCTTGTATAACATTTAAAATTTTTTTCTTCATTTTTTCTTTTATTTAATTTCAAAATATCGTGGAACCTATTTACAAATTTTTGCAAGAATCCTAACTGAGAAAATAGTCTGATCGATCACTAGTATCAAGGCAGAGTGGATTACGGATCACGTAACCTGCGAAGAACGATCTTGGAGCATAGACTTTAAGATCGAGGAGGATGAAATGTCACGAATGTCTCGAACACAATGTGCTGCGAAGGAGAGGGAAGGACAACAGGGCAGAGGACGGCCGAGGACGACCGATGGGGAGTAGAAGAGAAAAGGAGAAGAAGAATGCTGGCATCCATTGAGGAGAGCATTGCGCTCGATCCAGAAGCGAGGTGTTAATGTCACGCACTTCGAAATCAGATGGAATCTAATTCAACGAACCTTGATCTTTACTGCCCTCTTTTCTTCTCTGACCTCGCGTGAAAGAACGTTTTCTTCGTTGAACAATCATCAACTATTAACCCTTTAGCATCCATCAGAGAAGAAATTCTGAAATTGAATGAAAAAAAAAGAGAAATTTTAGCATTGAGGATTAATATTGTGTTATAATGGAACATTTCAATTTTGCAATATTCTTTCAAACAATTTACATCATTGAATTGTTTTGTAACATTGTTGGTGGTATTATACTTTTATGGAAACTTTATTTTTTAATTTATATAGCTTTAAAACTATAAAAACATTAATTCTAATATATTTTATAGTTTTAATTAGAATTTATATTATTATGATCCAACAATAACACTTAAAGCTATAATATTATATTATAATTAGCCTTTAAATGTTATTTACAAGTATTTGAAAAAATGAAAATAATCTTGTTTGAACTTGACTTCTCCAAGATTCTAATCATGAAGTATTTCATGCAGTAAGATTAAAATAATTAGTTACCATTAGTAATTAATAAAACATATTAGAAACATTATATCTTATGTCTTTACGATAACGCGAACAGAATGAAATGGCAATAATGTGCTATGATTGTTCATCAATTGAAATTGATTTCATCGATAAAAAGAGTGAACATGGCGATGAGTAGCACTATTTTGAATAGTACGATTACCATACAATTCCAAGCCTCGCAAAATAGTAGTCGAGATGATCAGAGACGTCTACCGAATAGAACGATTAGACGTTCTTTCATTGCTATTAAGTGGCACGAGGAATGTGGTTTCATCTTCAGCATCTGGAATTATAATAAGTTTTATATAGGCTTCAATAAGAAACAACAGTTTGACATTTATTAAGTGTGCACTTTGAGTTTGCACATTAAATTTTATTTAATATTATTTACAATGTGTCAATATTATGAAAGATAATAAAAAAAACAATTTTTGATTAATAAATAAATATATATATCAAATAGCAAAATAAAATAAAAAAATATATTTATACTTATAAAATAGAATATAACAATAATGTATAAATAAAATTACAATTATATCAAACAGATTATTTCAACAATTAATCACTGTAAAATGTTGCATTACAGGGCAAAAGCTAGATGACATCAAACACTATAAAATGATTTATGTTTTCAAGAAGATCAAAGGGCAGGTTCATTTTAAGTGAAATGAGTTAAATGTCTTAACGTCATTAAGAGCAGCAGTATGGCACAAAGCCATGGAAAGTCTGTTTAATAATGCTTCTCTGTACCATCTCTATTTATAATTACATAACTTTTAAATAGAATGAGTTCTGTGTCATTAAACTCGTTTCGAGGATTACTGCAATTGTATTGCGTAATTGGAAGATTGAGATCTTTTATACACAAAATAATTTTTTAGCATTTACACTTACATCTTAAAAATTACGCTAGACAAAATCATTGAAGCGTTAAATCAATATTGCCATAATAATTTAAAATAACTTTTCGCTCGCTATTAAGATATTACATAATCGTTAATTTTTTATATATAATAATAAATATAACATTTATCCTTAAGTAAGTTGATGTTTAAATTATAGGGGTTGATGGAAGAACCCTTGACCGAGTTTTAATAATCATAAAAAGGAGAAAGTTATTATGAAATACTTCTACATTATAGGATCTTCTAACATCTGTTATAAGAGAAGAGGATCATTTATGCTTGCACAACAAAGAGGGATTACCAACTTGGATATATTAATTGAAGAACACTTGTTTAAAGAATATTGCAGAATGCCAATTTCAATGAATCATTGTAAAAAAACTGTATTTCTTTAAAAGTATTATAATAAAGAAGAAAATCAATTTTTATTCAAATCTTTTTGATATATCATCAATGAATTTTCAATAGTGTAATAATAAATAAAAAAAAATATAAAGATATTATATATTGTTTCATAAATTAGAATCGTTTTAAAATCGCTTATCAATAAAAATTATAAAAAATTATAGAATCATAACATAAAATTATAATATCAATTAATATTAATATTAAACCTATATATAATTACGTATTTAGTAACAGTAAATCAATATTACAATCAATATAGTAGCATTACTTAATAATAATCAATATTAGTTTAATATAATCAGGATTACAAAATCAATAATACTATTGATCATCAATAAATTTGATTTGTCCAAGATTTACCAATATTTGCAGAAATTATTGGAAAATCATAGAATCCATAGCATAGCCATGATTACCCGAAGAATTATCGATTTCTTTTCTTTCAGTAGGAGTAAAGTTTTCGTAATCATCACCGTCTTTATACCAGACGTATCGTTAACAGGATCTATCATTGAATCGCTGTTAGAGCGAGAGCAGAAAGACTGAAAACGAAATGGCATAATTTACAGGCCAACAATGAGATTATAACCGGTATACCGTAACGGACATACTATGTATGAAAGCCGAATGAAAAATATCAAATTGTTCCCATCGCTTTGTAAACGGATGAAAAAGGGCTGAAACAAAGAACGCCGACAAGACATCCGGCGAATTTCGAATGAGATATCTGCTATTAATATATCAAAGAATCATACCAATTCTATCAGTAAATTGGTTGATCTATTACAAACTACGTTTCAAGAACTTAAAAGCTGGGATCTTTAAATTATTTCGTGATACTTGAGATATAGAAGTACTTGAGATATAGAAATTAAAATGGATTATAAATAGATTGCTGATGCGTTTATGCAAATGTTTAAATGTGGAAATCTACAGAATGCACATGATAAAAAGCAAAGCAATATAAAATATTTAAAGTATAATGATATCATTATGATATTTGAAAAATAAAGTAAATTTTATGTAAATTGTACTTTTTTAATCATATTCAACAAAATTTTATTTTGCATAAATATCTATAATCTAATTATGAGTAATCTAATTCTAACTATAGAAAAAACTTTAATCTAATCAAAGTACTTTACAATGATATGACAAGTTTAAAAAAATTAAAGATAATATCTATTAAAATTTCTAATTATGTCAAATTCTCAGATAATTAGTTTATTAACTTCATTAATTTCATTAACATTAAATAATCTTGCAAGCAATTATAAAATTGACATTATACAAAAAATCCTATAAAATTAATTGTATTCTCAAAAAGCCTTTCAGTAAATTTCAATTTTACAATTCAATGATAAGAAGAATCAATTGATCTAAAAAATATTAGAATGCCAAATACTACCAATAAATGATACCAGTATGTTATTTCATTTAAGAATATTACATGAACTGAAACAAATAGCAGTCAGGTCACAATCACGTTACAAATGACCCATCACTGCATCTATAATTATGCGTTTTTATGCTGGATCTCGAACGCCTTTAAATTATAATTGCAACTATAAATCAATCATAATTTCCTTTTGCCTCGCGTGGGCCTTATTTTTATATTATTACAAAGAGGATATTTCTTTGGCAAATGAAGAATAGCGTTAAAAGTCACGGAATTCGAAGGCATGCATCATATTCAATATTATTACCTAATCAGATTCGATCAGATCAATGGAATTAATCGAACGAATGACGAGATTCTGGAATTATTAAACGCGTCGACAATTGATACAATCTTCCACATGTCTTCCATATCTATAACAATGTTAATTAACAATTACAATTCGCAAGTAAGTAGTCAAACACTCTTTTGCAAGAGAATTTCCAGCGTAAATCAAAAGGAGTCATTGTTATTGAATTGTATGGTAATGGAAATGAAGCAACACAACATTGAGACTAAGAAAAAATTACTTCTTGGCAATATTAATTTGAAAATATACATAATCAATTGTATAATATGGAAAAATAATATTTGGTCTAATTTAACTTTTATTATAATTGATATATATTATATATTATATATTATAATTGATTAATATATATATGTGTGCAATAAACTATAAAATGCATGAAAAATAATAATACATTGATATAATAATAATCTTATAAAATGGATCGTTTAATAATGGTAATATTATATCAAATGGAATTAATCTTATTTTGTGAGATTAGCTTCTCAGTAGTATTAATATATGATATAGTCACGTTGCTAAAAGTAGTACAAATTGCGATGGCGTAAGTTAGTGATTTAAATGGAAAATGTTAAGTAATTGTAATCTTTTTTATCTTTTTTATCTTTTCTGATATCTATTGAAAAATTTGACTACTGTAACAATAAATATGTTTGCAAATGTTCTACTATACAAAATAAGAAAATTGGAAATATTGTATAGCAAAATTGTAAAATTAAGCAGTTAAATACTTTAAAATTATATTAAAATACCTTTCATTGTAAAAAAGAAAGAGAATTTCTGTTCTTGATTTTTCAGCTAGCAAATTATACAAATGTGTTATAATACGTCTTCGAGAGCTTTAGCGGAAGGTGTCTAACAAGTTGGTACTATGAAATTACGAGAATTAGTAATTTATTATTCGTCACTATTACAGCATCCTCGTCACTCACTACTGAACCATGTAATCGCAGATGACAAAAAAGTGAATAATGAGTGCTAATATTGCATATAAAGGAGCATGTGTCAAAGATTTCTTTAAATATAGAAATATAAAAATCACATAACCGCTGTCTTGTTCCTGAAATTATATAAAAAAAATTAAAAAGATTGTTCAAATAAAAAATATATGAAAGCGTACACATTATGTTTCTTTAATGAAAAAATTCACTTTATCTTGACTTAATTAATTGATTGGAACTTTTATAACGAAAAGAATTTGAATATGTACTTCAACCGGAAGGCGGGTTTCTAATTTATTTCCTGCGCCATCTATGCATGAAAATAAGAATGATTTATAGTAGTAATCATATTGAAAATCAGGTTTAATGAGCTCAAACATTAGAACGAGAAGTCTAATGAGGTCTCGTTTGAGAAAATCTAATATCCACAGATAATCCTCGTTCTTACTATTGCGTATTATTCTAATGCAGTGCTTCTCAACATACTTCAATATTTTGAATATTGTATTGTATCTCTTGCATATTAGAATAATATTTTACAATTATCAAATATTTATTATCATCAAAATATATATAATTTATTCGTGAATCTGAATATATTAAATCAAGTTTTTTTTTTTTAAATTTCATAATTTTATTATGAATTTCTTTTTACAAAACATAAACAGCCTTTTTACAAAACATTTTGAAGTTTTAAGATTAAAAGAAATTTTCAAAAGTATTCAAATTTTATTAAAGATTTAAAAGAACATTTACAAATACTAATAATACATGTAAAAAAATTTTATATACTGATGTGGATATTAAATGATGAAGACAGAAATTTGGGAAACACTGTTTTAATGATTTTCATTTAAAGTACTCGGTTGGCAACTTTATCGTACATATGTCCCTTAAATTTACGACTCGCGCGAAGCATAAACATCCTGCTATTATACGAGGTCCGCTGTAGTATTCTGTTAGTGAGTATTGTATTCCCTTATCGAGAGGTATCTAATAAACTATCTAATTTCGCACGAACTTGACACTTTTTTCCAAAGAGAATATACTCGCGTATACGTATTTCTATCCTAATCACTATTTCTATTAATGTTAAGCACTCTTAAATTTTATGATTAATTTCTAAACTAATTTAATTTCATAACCTAACAATAATAGGACTGAATTGTAACAAGTTTATGGAATATGAAAAAATTTGAAAAAACATAAAGAAGATAATATCATATTTAATTTTTCTTTTTTGACTCATAGAAATCATATGAAAGTTAAATTTCTTTTTCCATTAAAACTATTAAAAAAGAAAGTTGATTGTTGTTTAGTTTCTGAAATTTTACAATATTATGATGAGAATTTTTAAAAAATACTACATTAATCTTTCAATCCTAATTTTAATTTTTTCTTTTCAGAAAGAATTTTTTTGAAAGAAGAATAACATCAATTGAGTGGTTTCATCTATGATTTAAATCGTCTTTTTGTGAACAAATTGGCCAAGATAACTATAAAATGGCGTGTGTGTGGCCTGTTCATAGACTTGAAAAGGTCTCGCTGAAATCTGATTGCTTCTTGCGCGTTAAAATAGCAATCAGCTGATCTCGTGTCAAAGAACACAATACTGAACAGAATCATTACGAAATCGAATTTCGATAGCTGTAAACCGTGACTCGCTAAGCGTTTTTGCCTTTCAACCCCTTCATTGCTTTCTCTTCTTCTATTTATGGTAAACTGATGACTTTTTGTGCCAATTCTAATATTAGTTTTAAATAAAAAAATAAAATTCATTAAAAATAAATTTTTTTTTGTAATATTGTAATCAAGATTTTATATATTTTTTATAATTACAAAATAATAAAGAAAAAAGTAGAAATATTAATATTTTTTTATATAATTAGTAAATAAAAAATTTATTATTTCCTCAATTAAACTTATTATAAATAAGATTTAAAAATTTAAAAAATATTAAAAACTAAGTTATTTGCAGAAAAAATTAATTTTCCTAAAAAATTCATTATTTTCTAAATGTTAAGATAAAAAAAAGATTTTACTATACTGTCTTATAAACTAATATAATAAAATCATTACTAATAATTTAAATATATTTTTTACATTTTAGCATAGCATTTTATATTTTATGTGAAAATTAATTCTCAATTTTTAATATTAATTATATCAATAAAAGTTAATATAATTAAATCAATTAAGAAAATTTGAAAATATTCAAAAAAAATAATGAAAAAATAAAAGAATATTGAAAAAAATTACTTAAAAAAGAATGCTGGAAGAACAATTGAATTTTCGTTCAGATAGATAAAAAGCCATGAAACACAAACGAAGAAAGAAATTGCTAAGAGGCAGAATATATTCCTGAGAGGCTAATTTGATCTTTGTAGGATGCGAATAAAATTTACAGTGCAGTATAGAGGGAGGTGTGTACATGTATTAGCCGGATCATGGCCGTAAAGCAAGAGCTCGATCTGTCGAAGCACATGTTGCTTTCGTATACGATTCGACCTCGCGTTCGCTCGATACTTACTCCGGTCTTATGCAAATCAGCCGAGCAATACGTGCTTGGTGGAATGATGAGCGGTTGGCTAAGGTCATCGCAAAGGAAGGTTAGAGAATAGGATTGGATTCACCCCTTTGCTTAGTTAGATGTGCGCTTGGATTGGTTGCATAAAATTATTTGAAGAAAATCTGTAAGAAAATTATGAAATTAGAGATAGTGAAATGTAATAAAAAAAAAAAAAAAAAAAAAAAAAAAAAAAAAAAAAAAAAAAAAAAAAAAAAAAAAAAAAAATACAAAAAACATAATAAAAGAAATATAAAATACTAAGAAATAATTTGCAATTTATGAAAATTTAAAAGAATTGATAATTTAAAAATATTAATTCTTTACCTGATAGCTAATTACATATTTTAAGAATATTAGAGATATATAAATAATTTTGTTAAAATGAGAATATACAAATTAGTGCTTATAAATAAATGCAATATTTAGAATCCAATTTAAATATTTCTATGAAAATTTTTGGAATTTTATTATTTATTATAATATTTGGAAATTTATTATAAATTAGAAATATTAAAATTTGACAAACGAAACATAATAAAGATTTCAAAATTATAAAATAAAAATATCGAATGATATATCAAAACTAATAAAAATATTAACCTGCTATTAATTATACAATATAATTTTAACGAAGCGTCTAATTATTAATTATGTAAAATTAGGTCAGAATAGTTGCCATTGCATTTTCATTATATTTCAAAAAACGGAAGAAGAACGTTGTATGTTATTTGGTGCATTTAATTAACATATTGTAATTCTAATTAATTCTAATTAATATTACTAGAATATCCAACATTCATTATTCAATTACTTGAACAATTCCAAAATTATTCATATTCATAGCTATTTTGTATATATTCAAAGTAAAATTTGTATAATTTCATCCCTCTAGAAGACATAAATTTATTTAAAAAAAAAATGATGCTAATATAATCACCCTATATTTTATTAATATCTTCTTATCCAGATTATTAGGTCAAGGACTCGTAACTTTCACAAAAGACGTTCAGTTTCTTTCTGATGCTTCAACTGAATGCATATTGACGAGCTTTTGTATGTCTTATTCATATGAATCTTCTAAGAAAGAATGATATAGACATCAAGTCTGCAACACAATCACCAAATATCCTATAATTAGATAAACTAATAGTATTCCAATTATATAAATACGAATTATATAATAATTATAATAATAATTTAAATTTAATGATATTATTAATATTTTTATAATTCTTTCATGAATTTTCAAATTAACTTATTAAAAAATAACCTATAATAAATTCTACTTTCATAAATTTTTTTCCTTTTTTCAAGAGGTGTTGTAAAGTTTCTTAAATGAAAGTTAAGAAAGGATTGCGCAGATTATTCACATAATCATGTTACCAATAATTTAAGAGAATAATCAGCAGGGGTGCTAGGGTAATCACTGTCCCCTTTACGAGCTACAATAATTTTAGAATTGCTTTCACATTGGTCACATACGGGACTTGTCTTTAGAGAAATTATGACCACAGCATTACAAATGTGCATTCACAAATATAAATAAAGTGATAAATATCATATGATTTTCATAGAATGAAATTTATTTCTATTGCTACAGAAAAATCAATCAAACAACGTTTGATATTTTCTATTTATTATAATAAGATACATATAATTTCAATTTTATCAATAATCATTTATATAGCATATCATTATTTTTATTCAAGCCTCTCAAAAATTAATGATATATCGCTGATATATATGATCATATATGATCATAATGTTTAAAGAAATATCGTAATACAATATATTGGCTGTTGGAAAAAATGAGTAAGAAGGGTATAAGATGTAATAGAACAATAGATATCTTCGACCATTCTCTCATTATCGGAACCTCTCCCCCAATCTAACGAATCCTGTGATTCGACATCAACGATACTTAAAGGTAACTCCTTCCGTGACATTAGAAAGGCACTCCTAGTCTCTTGTTGCATCGGTCCCTTTAGCTCGTTCGTTTCACACGCCACGTCGGATGTAGAAACAGTTACAGGCAACGTTCCTTCTCTGTGATACACCTCTCCATGATATCGGGATCAGATCTTCCTGTCACTTGTGAGACACTTAAATAGGCTGAATAATTGCCTCGCTGGAAGATTAAATTTTTATTAAAATTTAATTTATGAGAAAATTAACAAGAGATTAAAAGATATTAAATATTTATTTATATAATAAATAATGAAAGAAAATTTATTTTCGGTATATATCTACATGTACCCTGTGATAGCTATTGAATATATAAATATTCAAATGATGAGTACTTCTAGAATTAAAAAAAAAATCGTAAAAATTATTCAATATCGTAAAAGATAATTGTAATATGCAAATATGCAAATGGTATAAAATTACTTAAGAAATTAAGGAAACTAAAGAAAATTGAAAAAAAATCCAGTAAAAAATAACGGTCCAGAAAATTTTTAAAAAAATTTTGCCTATTCGTTATATTTTAATATGTATTTTGATATATATTTGATGATGTTCTTCTAATACAAAATTGTAAAATTAAAAAATTAGAAAAATTTCCAACTAAATACTCAATAATTAATAGGTTTTAAAATTTTTTAAATTTTTCAGATTTAAAGTTTTTAATTGAATTCTACAATCTTATAACAGGAGAACATAACTGAGAAAAAATTACAAAATTTTTTGGAATTTAATATATTTATGTATTTTATATTTATCATTTATTTCTTTAAGCTGACACATTTAAAAGAAAATTTTTTAATCATTATACATAATTCTATTCTAGAAGTTAATATTCTTATATACGTATATATGTATTTAATATTTACGTTTAACATACTTATTCTTTGAAGATATTACATTTTTAGCAAAAAAAAAAAAAAAAGATTGAACATATAAAAAATATATTTGATATATAGATTTTCAGAAATATTCTATAAATAATGTATAATAATATATAATATATAATATATAATAACATATAAAAATATAAAATTATATATAAATTAAACAAAGAAAACAATAAATAAATTTGAATGCATAAATTCATAATGTAAATATAGATAAGAATATAGATAAGAATATTTATTACTAGGAGAAAGATAAATATAGGATAAAAATAATGAAATCAGCGCCATCTTCAGAGTGCCGCAAATTATACACATAAAGAAAAGATAAAGATAGAGAATTAATTGCCAACGCCATCTTCTGAGTAACAAAAACTTTTTTTTACGAACAAAATAAAAATTGAAAATTAACTCTTTTTTTCGAATAGCTCCTAAAGAAAATGATTTATAGAGATATTTTTGATTTTCAAAAAATGATATCAATAATCAATATTTGCTTTATTTGTTTTTTTGAAGAAATGTATTTGGTAATTAAAAAATGGCCTTAGTAACTAATTCTTTTTTTTATCTCTGTTTCATTTCAATTTTCTGTTTTATCTTGCTTTCAAAACAATATCTTTGATTTTCGAGAGATGGTGCTGATGACTCTCTCTACCTTATCTTCTCTTTGAAGAAATATTTTTGGTACTTAAGAGATGAAGTTAATAGTCAATTCTTATTCTACTTTATCCGGCTTTAGAAAATATATTTTTGATACCAAAAAGATGGCAATAATGATCATTTCTTACGCTACTTTTTTCTTCTATTTTCTCTTCAATTTTTATTCCATCTCTGTTTTTCCATAATTGCTTTTAATTTACGTATACTTTATACCATTTATTATGTTTATTTTGTTTCAATTATCCAAATGATATAATGTAATTAGAATACAATTAGTTTTCCTGAAAAAGATAACGGAATTATATTTCTAATCATGAATTTCATTTATTCTTATTTGTCTGAAGTAAAAGAAATGACGAACATCATAAAATTTCTTTGTGGAAGAAGAAAGCATAAATAACATATATAAAATGATTGGAAGAGAGACTGAGAACTTGCGTAATATCGAACGATGTTCCCAGTTCCGTAGTTAGAGGAGCCTCGGGCGTCCATTAAACAGCCTTGACATTTTATTCGTTTCTGTATATCTCTCACCTACGAACCTTTTTCTTAAAGATATTAGAAGAAGAATGATCTATAAAGTTTGACATATTCTATTTTGAATGTCATAAATGTCATTAATATAATTATTTTTAATAACAAGACGATATAACATTAGTGCCGCCATTTTGGAGAACTTGCTCATATTTGTACGTATAAAAATCTTGTATTAATGAAAATAACATATATATACATAATGATATTGATAAATTATAATTATATAAAAGAATTATATATTAAATAATATTTATTTACTTTTAAATAAAATTTAAACAGAAATAAAAATATAATCTCATTCGAAAAATTCAGCAAAATTCATAATTGATTATTCATAATTAATAATACAATAATAATTTTGTAATAACATATGAATTATCATTACAAATTATCTATAATAATATTATATATATATAACTTCTATAATAATAAAACAATATAAAAAAGTTGGATATTATATGTATTTAATATGTATTTACACTTACTTATATTCAAATATGTATTTCTATATTTCTAATTATAATAATTCTTAAAATATGAATCTTATTGATGTGAAAAACCAACTATTCAATATAAAATAAAAAGCTATATAATATAAACTATATAAACCAACTATTCAATATAAAATAAAAAGCTATAATATAAACTAATATAAACTAAAATACAGGACATTTATAATTACTAAAGAACATTCATATTCTATTATAATGGATGTTAATTAATTGATAATCAATTATTTATAAGGAATTATTTGTATTATTAATTATTAATTTATTTATTATTCATTATTCATTACGATGTAAATGAATTTTAATTTACATGAACTATAATTAAAATAATTTAAAATATATATAATATAATACATAAAAATTAATTTATTTAAATTAATTATAAAATATCAATATATCTAATTTTTTTTAATATAATTTTGCACAATATGATTTTTCCAAAGATTTTAACTAACAAAATAGGAAAGAGAAAAGAATCTAAAGAGCGAGTGGAATTGAGATGCTCAGAATGAATACGCGTGGTGGTTGAGCGAAGATAATAAAAGCTTGCAAAGAAGAAGAGGCAGGTAG